CCAAACCTCGAATTTTGCCATTTTTATACCTAATTTTAAACGTTAGCTACTGTTGTCCCTTTCGCACGGTATTTGCCAATACGCGACAGCTAAAGCTTTTTCAAATACCTATTTCTCAAATGTCTCTCAGCTCGTGTCCGCTCGGAGTTACTTGCCAAAGCTGCCCTTCGAACGCTCCCCTTTCGTAGAGAAAATCGCTGTGAAAAACAAACAAAAGATGGTTTATAATTTTTATTATTTTAAAGCATGTAACTGCTTGATGTTCAAATCTAAAGCAAATATAACTAGAAAAAATTTAAACATCAAGCACTTACATGCTTTAAAGTAAAAAAAATATAACTACAATTGCTATTTCTTCTTTCTAATGTTTAATACTTGTAAAAGTATTCATTTGACATTGTGGGTTCCCTATAATGCGAAGAGATGGCGCTGCCTTGCAGCTTAAGAATGGCTAGAAGAATTTCGACGCGGTCCGTGAGGGCCGCGGTAGCATTCGCCCGGATTCCGAAAGGTGCGGATTTAAGTCCCGTCTGCTGCCTGGTCCTCGTGGAATTTTTTCTAGTTATATTTTCTTCTTTCTTTAGAAAAGATGGTTTTATTTTGTTTTCCATAAACGCAGCCCGATTAACTTCCATTTAACGAGAATGAAAAGACTGGCCACGTTTAAAATGCAAATTCTTTTTCATAATGTAGGTTGAGTATTAGTTTAAAAAGCACGTTTTATTTTTCTAGGCTGTATGAGGTTAACGCGCCGAAAATACTTTTCATTTATGGTCTTTAGCGGCCGCACAAAAGAGGCGAGTTAAAAACTGGCAAAAAGGTCGAATACTGGTTTTTTTTTTGTTTTAAAATGAGCCTCGCGTCCGAAACGAGTTTCACCTTTTCGGACGGAATGTTTTTAGGTAGTTAAATTTTGCTTTTTCATTCGTCACGTAGAGCATTTTGAATTTATTAATAGCTCCTTATCAAATTCCAGCCACTTATTCTGTGATAAATTCCAAGCGAAAAGTTTTTATAAAATTTGCTCAGCAACTGCTCAAAGCAGATATTTTTTTTTCTAAAAAATACTTAATAGATTTCCTTTGATATTTGGTTAGAGACTCAATAGGAAACCTTGACATCGTACCTTTGCTCGATAAGTCTATATAAGAAACAACTTGCTGAACATCTCGTCATGTTATATTAACTATGAAGTATGTTCTTACTAGATGACAGCGACGACAGGCATCTTGACAGACAGAGAATGATTATTAATAAGTTTCAGTACATGACTTACCAACATCACTGCAATATAATAACGCCAAATTTACTTCATGTCACACATGGAATATCTCGAGTCTTGGGGCGCGTTTATATGACACAGAATGTCACAGCGTGGCGGCCGCGCGTTGACAGTGCGGCGACAGCACGGCGGCTGCGCTGGCACCGCGCTGTGGCCGCATAATAACTGTTCAGTCATAGCAGATTTATATTTTACTAGCTGTTACCCGTGACTTCGTCCGCGTGGAATAGTATCTTTGGGTAGCATTTTTAATTATTTAAAAAGAATCATTAGTAGGTATATTAAAAAAATATATAGTTTACAGTAGGTATACGGTACCTATGTATTCCATTGAGTGGCAGAAAGTACCTAGGAAAATTTATTGGTCCCTTATGTCCAAGAGACACTTACAGGGGCCAGCGTCACGTTGTGTACAAAAATATTTTAAAATGACCAAATTTAAAACATTTTTGTACACAGCGTTTGCTGTTTTGTTATTATTTGTTAAAATGTGGAGATTGTTTGGACTCGACACTCGCGAGCAGGCCACGTACAGTTGGCCATGCGAAAAACAGACCAATGAGGACTAATCGATGATTAAAGTAATCAATTAACGGATCATAATCAAAAGCAGCATCGGCAAATGCCTTCCACGTATTCATCGTAAACGACGGCTCCTTTCTGCTTGCCGCTCGGAATTAATTAAACGTCGTCTACGTTTTATATTTTACTAGTGGCCCGCCCTCGCTTCGCTTCGGTGTAAAGCTGTAGTGTAGACTATAGTTTTTGTTCTCAGGCTTGTATTATACACAATGACATTCTTCTAATACCCAATTACAATAGGCACGCGCCGCCAAGCCCGGTAGCGTCGGAACCGCTATGTCCCTGAATTTTAAATTTGTAATATCTTCGAAAATATTCATTTAAATTATATGCGTAAAAGGGCCAAATTGTTCTATATTAAATGCACAATGTATTTAAGGTACTTAATTGGATAAGGATGAATGTTATATTGCTTAAAATCGCTTCGTAAATAATCTATTATTTCTCGTAAAAAGTATAGGATAAAAATTGGTTATTGTGGGTTATCCTTAAGAGATAGACATAAACTATTCCGGACTTTTTTGTAGACCTTTTTAAGGTGTACAATACTGTAGTACATTATTTTGATCTATCTCGTGGGGTTCAGCCAGCGTTTGCAATGTAAGCGCAAAAAATGTGTTTATTTACGACCTTACATTAAAAACCTCTAAAATTATCAGTGTTTCTCTACTATATTATGCATGTATTATACATATAAAACTTCCTCTTGAATCGCTCTATCTATTAAAAAAAACCGCATCAAAATCCGTTGCGTAGTTTCAAAGATTTAAGCATACAAAGGGACATAGGGACAGAGAAAGCGACTTTGTTTTATACTATGTAGTGATTAATTAGGACTTAACGTTAAAATTCTTTGTTAATTACTAAATGCGCAGCGATCGCGCGGCGAACGCGCGGCCGCAGTGTGATCAAGAAGCCGCGCGGCGACCGCGAGAATTTTTTCTTTCGTCTATCTACAGCCTAATTTTGGCATTTGTTCCAACGCCGACTTCAACGAGGTTCAAGTGAAGCTTCAAACTAGAAACGAATTGACGTGCAACGAGAAGCGAGTATGTAATTGCGATAGTTTTAACGCTGGACTGTAACCGAATGTGTGAATACGACAGGCGCCACTCGCTGGCGGAGACAATCCTGGAGCTCTATTTTTGAATCACTCGCCTTGCGTCGAACGCTCGATTTCTATTAAATTTCATTCGACATAATTAATTCCGTATTTTTGAATCGCTCGAGTGCAACGAATGGGTGAGACCACTCGCTGCATGGCGAATGGTGGAGGCGAATGTTAGAATAATTGTCAAATTATTTGTGCTATTAGACGACGATAATCTGTCATTGTCATGCTTTATATGAAATGACAACGAGAATTTTTTGTTCGGTTTTCATTGCGGTAATTACCGGTTTTAATTTTTTCTGCGTGAAATGAGTAAAATTTCATATTTCATATTAAACAGGTAACACCGGTGACGAATGATTTAAAAATACGGGAAATCAGTATTATGCGACTTGAAAGTCGAAGGTGACTTATGTCGCATTCGACGATACTATGTCGCACGAGTGATTCAAAAATAGGGCTCCTGGAACTCGATTTTTGAATCACTCGCCTTGCGTCGATCGCTCGATTTATACTAATTCTGATTTGACATAATAAATTCCGTATTTTTGAATCGGTCGGTGTCAACGAGCGGTTTCGACCACTCGTTGCGAGTTGGCGAATGATGGAAGCGAATGGTAGAATAACTGTCAAATTTATGTCAGATATTTTCAAGATTTTTCTCGCTAGAAGATGAAGACTTTAGATGAACGATTCAAAAATAGGGGAAATCAGTAACAAAATCAGACTATGAAGTCGAAAGTGACTTAAGTCGCGTTCAACGATATTATGTCAGGCGAGCGAATCAAAAATAGAGCTCTTGAGCAAAAAACGCGCGCATGTTTTGAGACAAATGAGTATCTCTCTGAGGAAGGATTGCCTTTTTTTTAGTTTATTTAGGAAACCAAACAACAGTACAAATAAATTTTGATAGTTTGCTAAAGAAGTTGATATAAACTTACTAATTGTACAAACAACACCGTTTTCCTTAGTTTATTTATAAAAAAGAAAACATCTTAAAATATATAACACTTACTAAGAAGTATTTTTGCAAAAAGTGTAATTTAAGTACATATTATTCTTCTTTAGATAACACTTTCTTTTCTTTCAAACCAAGCATTCAAATGCATCATACATTTAAATACTTAGCTGAAAAATAACAAGAATTATTTTATCAAACACAGTGATGAAACCATGAATTCACCAGACAAGTAGCTAGCCACCAAATAAAATTTTATATATTACACATATATTTACATCGGCTTCTAATTTTGACGTGACAACGTCTTAAATTAGGTTGCGGCTGGGAGTCACTTATGAAAAAGTGTAACGCTCGGTAACGTTACGATGAGTCTCTCGTGTTAAGTTTAAGTTTACATGTACAATGTTTTAGTAAACAAAATATATTTCTATAGTTAAAATTTGTGCAATTCTTATTTTCATTCAATTCCTTGTTCCTATTGTGCAATTTAATTATATTCATATCAATAAATATTCTACCGAGAAAAAGACGTTGTCACGTAAAATCTTCGCCCGTAAAACCGACTTTACAGGCAACCATTTTTTTTTTGTGATAACTTCCTTTTTGAATGAGCGCGGTGATAGGCAAATAATACCTTTGATAGCTCGTGTTGCACAGCGACAAACTAGTGAAGCGAGTTCAGCTGTGTGAACTATCAGCGATCAACTGTTAATATATGCATCTCTTTCGTTAACACGGAATGTATATCTATTGTACGTTTCTTGAGCGAGAAAATAGCCGGCGGTGAGACAACTACATAATCGTTTAACTCATTATTTCTTACTATTTAAGTAGAAAATAAGAGTACAGCATAACCGTAATATATAATTCATCTCCTCAATTCATCAATGTGAAAGGCACATAAAAGGAAAAAGGGGAAAAAAGCGTCGTCATGTAACAACATTAGCCGTTTAATGAAACAACAACTCTTTACCAAACACACAACGTAGTACAACACGTCACATGACCCTTATCATACTTGTCTGTTAACATAATTGTTTGAGCATTATTGTTTTTGTACGCAGAGGCGAGGGCGCAAATTTCCGGACCCACGGAGAAGTATCTGAAGCCTGGCTCCACCCTGAGGCTACAGTGCTCCGTGGTACAGACGACGGAGGCACCCGCATTTGTGTTCTGGTAAGTTTGTGAGTTTCGGTAAATCCTTCTGTGGAATTGAAAATAAAGATTATAATTATGGCCTACACAGACGAAAGGCTTTTGACTCTATTTTCCGTCAAAATAGATCGCTTACAACTGCATCGAGTAATGCACACGAGGAATTAAAAGTCCCGAGTACAAAAAGTCCGCCGAACAACTGAGGACACCCAGATACCGGACTGGACAAAAATACGAGGGTGTCCCCGAAAAAAGCAGAACTCATGTGACTTAGCGCAACAACGCAACGCACACACTGAAATTTAGTCTTTGATCGGCCAAGTTAAAGGTACGCGGGTGTCCCCGAAAAAAAACTCATATGACTAGGCGTAGCAACGTAACCAGAAAAATTTAGTCTTTGACTGGACAGGACAAAAGTACGCGGGTGTCACCGAAAAAAGCAGAACTCATGTGACTAGGCGCAGCAACGCACATAGCGAAATTTTGTCTTTAACTGGACAGGACAAAAGTACGCGGGTGTCCCCCAAAAAAGCAGAACTCATGTGACTAGGCGCAGCAATGCACATGACGAAATTTTGTCTTTAACTGGACAGGACAAAAGTACGCGGGTGTCCCCAAAAAAGCAGAACTCATGTGACTGGGCACAGCAACGGACACAGCGAAATTTAGTCATCGTTGCACGCTCCATCCGATTTAAAGAGATAGACCCAGTATTCTTCTTTAAAATTTCTTCTCTTTTTCTTAAACTGCATACTTATAACAACACAACGTAATCTGAGAATAGAATAGAATAGAACAGAATATTCTTTATTTGCATTAAATAGGGTTGACAAAAGGTGTTCGCATATAAAGCATATGTTAAGCTAAGAAACTTCAACCTTTTTAGCCATATGGCTTAATAGGTTTAATAGCATACAAAAACATCTAACATATTAAAAACATAGCAGTCATATTACAATGAGAATATTTAATTGACATGCCGAGTGCTTCTCTAAACGTTTGGGCAACAAATGTTCGCACATCGTGTGCGTTGAGTCCGTGACCTTCGATTTTCGCGGACTAAACTCCCTAGTCTGCGCAGGCCATTACTTCGTCGCTAATGCACTGCAGCAAGTAAAAAATACCACTGTATTACTTTTATGAAATAGGACCCTGGTGTTTGGGAACTTCTTCTTGGAAAGTGAAAATAACAATTATTTAGCTGCCGGCGCTTACAAAACCAATAAAGTATGTAAATAGTACTAATCTATATATTGTTTTAAACTTTCATGGTCACTAACATTATAGCTATTAACGGGATGGTTACCATGTACCTTGTTTTTTATGAGTCTCCGATATTTCGGCACTGTTGCAAGCGCCATGATCACGGAGTAACAGTTACTCCGTGATATATCTATCTCGAATTAGCAAACTGAAGTGGCAGTGGGCTGGTCACATTAGCCGCAGAACTGATGGACATTGGAGCCGGAAAGTTCTTGAGTGGAGACCGCGACTCGGTAAACGTAGTGTAGGACGCCCTGAGACAAGATGGGATGATAATATTCGTAGGCTGGCTGGAGTGGGCTGGATGAGAGTAGCACAAAATCGGGAGCAGTGGCGTGCATTTGGGGAGACCTATGACCAGCTGTGGACAAACATGGGTTGATGATGATGATGATATCTATCCCGTTAATAGCTATAATAGTACTAATCTGTTAGTAAATAAATTTAGATTGAAATAAAATAAGGCTAAAGTGATTTTAAGCAAATCCTTCTTCAAAACTGAGGCTGTTTATTGCTGTTAAGTTTATGCGAAGTTACTTTAATTCAATCAAGAACTTACAATTGTTTGTAAAACTTATTTTCAAAATTTATTCAGATGAGCGTCAAGGTCCAGTTATTGAACTAATCACTATATGTTTTTCTATGATTAGATTTTTATTGTGATGGTGATTAGTACTCATATTTCTAGACATAAAACAATACCTTTTAACTTTTGTAATTTATTATAAAGAGACATTTGGTAACTTAGGATATTTAACATTATGAAATATGTACAAAACCCCTTCTAAATGAAATATTTGCACACAGGAATACTTTACCCAAATATTCCTTACGAGCACCCAAACCAATTAATCATCGCCATACCAAATTAGCCCCGTTCTACTCGCAATCCTCATTATAAATTGCATAAATACACAAAAAAATTGTATACATTACAAATGCAGAAACACACAGACATAAATTCCAACTCGGTAGTTGCTCTAGGCATAGTTTGCTTGGCAATGGTGGATTTTGGCAACGTTAAATGTTAAGTCGATAAAGAATAACTTTCATGCGGTTGGCTCCACATGACACATAGACTATAGCTTGCTTTGCCTAATCGCTGACAAATTCGTGCTATATGAAAATTGAATACCACATTTGGAAGATTATAATCAAAATTTCTAATCTTTTATAATTTCCTAATTTTTACCTCATTAATTATTTCGACCTATCCATAGAATAAAGCTACTTCTGCATAACTTTACAGTAGAGCGATTTTAAGTTTGTAAAATGTAAAATATGCTGTAACTTGTATTGGTATTTTTCTATCATTTGAATTTTTTTACTTATCATATAAAGCATTAAGAAGTAAATTATGACGCATTTATTGTTTAAAAAGAACTACATTTACGGCTTATATTTCGTTATTTAAGAGTTTCTTATGTGATTATGTGACAATTTACTACGGACATCTTTATGTTACATATGCATATCAGACGTTATGCTTCGGAAACGTGTCAAATTATGTGTAGATATAACTTTGTTTTACCTAATTTATATTTTCTGTCGCGTCAAATTATGATGATATGGCAAAGATTGGGCAAAATCGATCAAACAAGAAAAATAGAATCAAACATTTAGTAAAAAAATCTCAGTTTATAACAAAAGTGAAGCCGTGCAGGCTGCTTTCTTGCCTATCCAAAATGTTCTTGTGCTCTTGGCTCTATATTCTTCGGAGACAAAAATCACATGTACCTTTAGTCAATTGCTATCATCAAAGTTATATGCGTCCGTTTCGCTTAAAAATACAATAAAAGCAATTTGGTAACATTTTCATATGTAACTTTATTCTATGCATAGGTCGATTTGTCTGGTTTGGGAGTTTTTGATGATTTAGTTTTCAACTACGTTTGCTTCTGCTTTTAAATAAAGAAATATTATATTGTTGTCCTGGGTATATCAGGGTAGATAGTTATATTGAGAAACGCCCTTTCCTTTAGCGTCTAATAAGATCTAGAAAGTTGGATTTAGTGATTACGATCACGGAGAATACTGTACAACATTTGTAATGTCCAACTGCACTGAACAAATGGGATACAAACGGAGATACATGTAATGTTTCCTGGACAAACTTCAGCTATTACTTAAAGCGGAAGCCAAGATAGTGTGCAGATTGCTTGAAACCATCTCTTGGTTGTATGCTCTGGGGTCTTATCAGACTGTTTATGGTAATTTCAGCATAAAATGTAGGCACCCTCTGTCTTGAGATTCTGCTAGATGTTATGGAATAAAATTTCTGGAAGAGGCCGAGATCATTATCCGTTTTGAGATCCATATACTCTTAGTTGAACGATAAATAAATTCGCCCGCAAAAATTTAAGGGTCATCTAGTTAACTCCAAATAACTTTGGAACTACATAAGCTAAATTTTTAATTAAAAAGTATCCGAAAGAACATTTCTTATTATAATTATGTAGGGGAAACCACTCAATCATTGGCACTCGTCCTATTATTGGCACTTTTGAGTTTAATTCGGAAAAACAAGGAGACAATAGGTTATTCAAGGTCGTTACATATTAAAAAGAAAAACCTAGTATGGTTTCGAAATTTGAAAATTGGCAGCATTATTCCGACAATCTATTGTTTCCTGTTTTTTTCGAACTAAACTCAAAAGTGCCAATAATAGGAAGAGTGCCAATGATTGGGTGGTTTCCCCTACTTACAAGATAATTATGTCCATTTCTTAATTTGAAAATTAATACCTATATTATTTTTCTGTTTTTATTGTGGTTTTTTGAGGGCGAACGTAGTTATTTATGAGTTATTTGGTTTAAATCAGCAGTTAGAATGAATTTGATAGTATTTTTTTATAAAACCCGAGTTTACTATCTTGTCTGGCATCTCTTCAAGTGTGTGAGTCTAGAAAGAGAGAGAGAGAGAGAGATTCAGGAATGTATGATGATACCATCAAATAACAACAATAAGGGTAGTTAAATGCCTATCGGCAACATTGGGATCACATTTTTGGCACCAATGAGAAGGTTATATGCGAATACTGTTCGAGCGTTTATAACGTTAAGAATTACAATATTAATGGTAATTTAAACCATATATAAGAATTGTATTTAAGAAAGCACAAATATCTTTATTGCAATATCTATGTATTACTAGCATACACCCGCGACTTCGTCCGCGTTTATAGTTAGTTTCTTTTGAGTTTCCCACAGAGATCTTACATTTTTCCGGCATATAAAGTATATTCTTTGTCTCAATTCAGATAATAAATAATATGTGTACAAAATTTCATTTAAATCCGCCTAGCCGTTCTGAGTAATGAACATACCAACAAACTTACAAATCTAAGATGATGATGAAGGAAGTAGAATCAAATGGTAAACATATGCATGGACTGCTGACACAATGACATACAAGATGGCAAAAATCAGCACACTACTACTACAAAAACAGTCGCTCAAATGGGCAAGTGTACAAAAACAAAATAAATAATATGTAAATCCAGAAAAATAACTGCTCGCCCGGTCGTCTCCATTTATTCAGCATCTTAGAATACCGAATGTGTGCGCATCCCGATGGATTCCGCAATATTTCATCGCGTACGCTCTCCGCCAACTAGAATTGTCCCGACAAAGCATAAAATATACAAAGCGGACGTGGCTTTCACGGCCAAATAAGCGAATTTAATAAAAAGCCGTATTCCCCAAGCGGGGCGCGACTTATCCCCGATAGTTCTCTTGACACTTTCGCAGGACTCGACGCTAAATTGAAATTCCCCGAGGAGATGTAGGTAGCTGGTTTAACATTGCGAATCTTTGTATCTCCCTCCGCTGCTTTTATATTACATTGTTTCGGTTGAATTTTATCGATGAAAAAAAAGAAAACATTGTTCTTTTTTTTGGATGAAAATAATTATTCCCTTGATGCTGATAGGCGTTGTCTGTGGAAATGTGAATTGACAATATCTGAAAATACTCAACTTTTACTAAGCGAGTCGAGTGTTAGCTTTTTATATTGGAGAGACGGATAGCTTTGATTGGTGATTAATGATAACAATTTATTTGACTTTGGGTGATCAAATGGCGTTTCAGTCCTAGTTGAGGACTTACTATCACTTTCACTTTGCTCGTTACATTGTTATACTTAATACCAATAATTGAAACCCCGAATCACTATATCTTTAAAGAACATTATTCCTAATATTTGTAGCCCCAATGCACGCTATCCTTAATAACTTTAGACCTATAACACTGTATACCTAATATTTCAATCCCGAATGAAACGGTTCAATATGACTATGCTATGACAAACGCTGATCGAGCATAATACCTAAGTACTTTGTATTAGCAACTTTTTTTATTTCAGCACATGAACAGGTATTCATATGATGCCTATCACACTTGTGATAGGATATCACACTAGGATACACTCAATTTGCATATTACACAGTTTATTTATATACACGAGGAATAAAGTTGGACCTAGCACGCTGCCCTGTGGTACGCCGTAATTAACAGTGCACCCAGAGCTTAATGTCAACCCCACACGAACTCGCGAAATACGGTGAGTAAGGTCCAGTAGTTTGAGCGGTGTTCCTCTAATGCCTGCTTTTTGAAGACTGTCTATAATTGGTATTGACACCGTGTCAAAAGCTTCTTTTAAGTCTAGAAAAACCGTTAAACACTTTTTACCCTTGTCAACATTTTCTACAATAGAAGATGTCAAAGCCAAGACCGCATCCTCAGTAGAAAGGCCCTTACGAAAGCCGTATAGTGGTTCGGGGTTTCAATTATTGGTATTAAGTATTACAGTCTGCTCGCTACGCTGGCGAATTTTTATTGCAAAAAGATGTTTTTTCTATTCCAGTGGTTTTATTAATTAGAAATACTTTCACTTGTGTTATAAAATAAAAATATCCCTATTTTTGGGAAGTCTCTAAGTGACTCTCGACAATAATATATTCCCCTTTTTTCGTAATCAATACTGTGTTCTATATCTTTATCTACCTCTTTTGAACTAAGTATGATTGAACTCTTTACTATGATTTCGTCCTTTACGTGAAAATGTGACCTTCATGTCTAACATTCAGCCCTCAAGTTTGTAAGCAGTTTCATAACTACTATATAGTTAGTCGACTTTGAGAAACTAACTGTTAAGCTTTATGTCGAAGTTACATACGTCCTGAGTTCTATCTGGTAATTAAATTGTGTATTTCATACAATGGAGTCGGCAATGTTCATTCAGAATTAGTTTATTATTAATCTAGAAATATTTCTGGGAAATATCTTAATAATATTTAAAATGTGATAGTTTGCATGTTTATAACACAATCACGCAAAAAACCATTGAACCGAGAACGATGTAGCACACATAATAATATATTTAATTACCTTGATACGTCATAGGATACGTCATTTTATTCCGAACAAATTTCATGTTCTCGTGGGATTCTTTAAAAACTAACTTTATCAGAAACGAAGTCGCGGGTGGATGCTAAATGAGTTAAAAGAAAGAGACATCTTAAGATATCTCATATTGAAGTTGTTTTTCAATTTGACGACTTTGTTTACAATACAGGGAGAAAAAACAGCCCTTGCTGAGTTTCTTGCTGGTTCTTCTCAGTACAAGGTCCCCGCCGTAGATTTGCGAACCGATGGCGTAGCTTTTAGCGACATTAACAAGTGCTTGACTAGGCTAGACTTAATAAATAAAGGATATTGAATTAGGATTTTTTTTAATGATTTGGCAAAAGGTAAACATGTACGCGGTCTACCTGTTTGAACATTTGAAAAATCTGCAGTTAAATCTTATCCCGGAAGTGAATTCCTTTTCAAAACGCGCAGTACGTGACCAACTCGGTTCAAAAATGTGCGGAGGAACTCATTATCAATCTGTACGATGGTAAAAGTTTTTTATTTCCTATTGGAAGAGGTTGGCAATTAAGTTTGTGTTCAGTTTTATGTATACAGTCACCTCCATCTAGATTTTATCACATTTTGTCCCTATGGGACAGGAGGTCTACCCTCTTTCTCCGAAATGAACTTTCGGTAACAAAGTGCAAACTAAATTTAATATCGTCAATTTGAGGTTCTTTGGTGAAGCTTAAAAACTTTTTTCTCACTCTATTCTCGGGAGAAAAAATAAGTAACATAAAGAAGCGTGCGATGTTTTGTTTATAGTTGGATTCAAGTAGGCCTCCAGGATACCGTGCACCAAGGATGGTCAAATTAAAAAAAATGTGCTCGTGAATTTCTTTCTTTAGCGCAATGTAGGTATCAGACACACTGTTGCTTATATATGCTTATATTAATATGCTTGTAAGGCAATTTTTAGAGCACAAGTTAAGGTTTTAGAAAGCATTTGAAACACTATTTTCTCAATATCACTTTCTACTTGAAAAGTGCTTGCACAAAAATGTATTTTTTTATATTTGAATGATAATCGAAAATTATAGTCTACTTTCGGATTGATAAACTGTCTGCGTGCATTTTATTATTTTTTTAGTCATAATTCATATTATATTTTGGGCAGATCACAAGTGTTTTGATTCAGACTTTTAGCATTTTGGAAGCCACTAAAGACAAACTATTTTATTTAGCCATAATAATTCATATTATATTTTGGCCAGACCAGACGTGTTTTGATTCAAACTTTTAGCCTTTTGAAAGCCACTAAGAAACATGTTATTTCATATCCCTTTCTCTCTCATCAGGTATCACAATAGCAGAATGATAAACTATGACGCGGAGCGAGGCATCAACGTCACCACCAACCCGGCGGAGAGGCTGTCTGACCTGCTTATACCAGCGGCAAGCGTGTCTCATGCTGGCAACTATACTTGCGTGCCGAACAACGCAGTGCCAGCTAGTATATACGTGCACATATTTAATGGTGAGTTGATAACTAGATAATCTGTAGTAATGTATAAAAATTACTATAAACATCATCAACCGAGCGAAGAGGTTATCCGACCTATTCTTACCGGCCGCAAGTGTGTCTCATGCTGGCAACTACATTTGCGTCCCGAACAACGCAGTACCAGCTAGTATATACGTACACATATTCAGTGGAAAGTTGATAACTAGATCATTCGTAGCGATGTAAAACATTACTATCAACATCGTCCACCCAGCGAAGAGGCTATCTGACCTGCTTATACCATCCGCAAGCGTGTCGCATGCTGGCAACAACATTTGCGTTCTGAACAAACTGTATTTTACCTTTCCAAAAGAATTAGCCAAATAGTTAAGAGCTCCAATAGGTCCCATTGTGTCGGTAAGTACGTCTATGAGGGTCCAATGGGCACCATGCTCTTGATAGGAGGTCGAACGGGCACTTTTTTCTAGGTAAGGTCCAATTAGGAGGGTCCAACGGGTACTAGACCCAACGCAGTGCCAGCTAGTACATATAAGTCGCGACACGAAACTCTAGCGCTGACCGTTATTGCGCAGAAGTAAAAATTAAGATGTCTTGGGAGGAAACAGAGATGTGCGGGCGGCGTGCGTTCCGCCGAACGGCTTTCCAGACGTACCCATGCGCAGCTATACCCTCCGCGTTTTGTTCAGCGGTAGAATAACGTGTCGCGACCTGAACGTGCAAAATCGTACATATTTAAATGGTGAATTGATAAATATGTATATGATCTGTAATGATGTATTTACATTACTCTAAACAACATCAACCTAGTGGTGAGGCTGTTCATACCGGCGGAAAGCGTTTCTCATGGCGGTAACTAAACACGTGTGCCCAACAACGCTGTGCCAATTAGTGTAAATGTTAATTGGTTGTTAAATTCCAAATTGATCTGTAGACACATGTCCACGTCACTTGAAGCCCGGAAGCTGGGCTGGCTGTCTATACTTCTGATATTGGGCGCAATCATGTTTCATGCTGGCAAATCGAGTAAATAATCTGTAGAGATGTTCTGTGATCGACGTTACTATAAATTCCGGGCAAATGCTGGCTGTACTTACTACTGACGCTTGCGGCTGAGGCGTGTCACACGCAGGCAACTTCACATGTGTGTAGAAAAACAAGTTGTCCACCACAATCTGAACAATCGTGAGTTCTAGTCCATTGTTCAGATAGTGGTCTAGTACACAAAACATAGAAAGAGGTTAGAAGAATGATCCGGCTCGTCCCCACCATGGAGGAGCTTGATGGCGCTGGTGGTTAGCGCGTTCGGCTGCGATCGTTGAAGTTAAGCAACTTTTGCAGTGGTTGGACATTGGATGGGTGACCAAAAATCTTCAATCTCGATTTCCTCCGTGCTTCGGAAGGCACGTTAAGCCGTTGGTCCCGGCTGTATCTGTAGTCGTTAGCACCCGCCAATCCGCACTGGGCCCGCATGGTGGGTTATGGCCCAATCTCCCTATTCCATCCATAGGAAAGGCCTGTGCCCCAGCAGTGGGGACATTAATAGGCTTATGATGATGATGAAGTTTGAATTAAGCCACTTGAGAACTATGAGAACAGAGGAGATTCCGCACATGGACGCACTTCCATCCAGCTAGTTCCATGAACTATAATATCAGTATCGTTCGCATAGGTGATAATAGGGATGATGACTAACTTTTTTTTCTTCGTTTATCAGGTAGATTATCAAAAAATATTGGACACTTATTTTGTTTTTTTTCACATAATATAAACATTGCAGAGATATATTGATTTGAAAAGTCGCATGACGTCACGTTTGAGTACACTTATAAGTGAAAATTCACTCAAAAGTGACGTCACGAGCCCTTACTCCCAAACTTTGACGCGCTATAATTTTGTTTTGGTTGATTGCCTAAAGACAAAATACGTGTCCATTATTTTTTGATCATCTAACTGACGGACTAAATAGAATTTCGTTTACTGTACCCCGTCATCACCCCTTTCAGAATTGTTTTATGGCATTATACATATGTCAATATACTATTTATTAAAATGTTTATCTGTTTTCCGATATTTTTAAATAAATTCAAAGTGTTGGTTTCGATAAAATCGTGTTTTAATAAAATCCTTAAATATTTTCGTTATTATGCATTCGGAAACAATGCGTTCAATGGTCGAAGCGTTTGCCTGCAAATAATTTCAAAGTTGTAGGTATGACTTTCTGCGTTTCAGTTGAACTTTTTTCATTTTAATATTCAGTATTTCTTTTGTATTTCAAACAACCATGACGGTTGAATGGTTCGAAAAAATGTTTCTCTTGTTTTCACGTACATTGTTCATGTGACATGGTATTTCATATGTACACCAACTCGTTTAAAAAATTAAAAGTAACGTAGAACTGTATCGACAATTCAGTGATATGCGCGTTTGAAATGAAATGAAAGTTTATTTGCTTGAAACATAGTTTGTTACAGCTGGTAAATGTTATAAAAAATTCCATATGCTTCGCCCTTGGAAGAGCATACAAAATACTAATCTATACATACATATAATAAATCTGTAGAGAGGTCAATTCTGTACATGAAATATATTTTCAAAATAACTATCAGGGGGTGATTAGTGATCGATACTGATGCCAAAAATGCAATCAGTAAAATTTTTGTCTGTCTGTCTGTCTGTCTGTCTGTGTGTATGTTCCTTATAGAAACAAAAACTACTCGACGGATTTTAACGAAACTTGGTACAATTATTTTTCATACTCCTGGGCAGGTTATAGTATACTTTTCATCACGCTACAATCAATAGGAGCAGAGTAGTGAAGGGAAATGTTGGGAAAACGGGAGAAGTTACTCCATTTTTTAAGCTTCCGTCGCGTGTGCAGCCTTCATGGTTAAAGTTACATAGAAGTCATGTATGACGGAAATATTCTACATAAAATTTTCTAAAAAATATCCCGCAACAGCATATGTCTATCTTTTATGGTTGACTCACAATAACACGTGTAATTATATAAATAGTGTCATTGTTTATAGCACAAGCCTAAGAACAAAAACTATAGTTTACACTACAGCTCTACACCGAAGCGAAGCGAGGGCGGGCCACTAGTAAATAAATAAAATTGAGTAATATTTGCATTCCAATAATTATATAATACATGTCAAATTTTCTAATTCAATAGTCAACACAATTTATGTCTTATTATGTCAACACAATTACAATAATTAATAAATATAATAAGTTTACATTATATTACACATAATAATTATACAATACATGTATTTTTTTTTTAAGTTTTATCTAAATGCAATGGCGGAGATTAAAAAAACTTTTGCAAAAGCTAGCCATTGAATGTGAGACCAAGAATTATCTATAATCTCAGCTTAAACTCTTTAAGTAGGCAGAGCAGTTTTATACATGATAAAATATATATAAATGATTTCCAATTTAAAACACTAATAGCCGCTTTGCAGCAGTCTAACGCGACCTGCCATCAAAATATGCATACCTAAATGTTACCTACCCCCACGACAACGGCTAACTAGAACCGAGGTCTGAGTCTCAGAGCCTGTAGTTGAGGCGACCCCCTCAGGTTCGAGTGGTCTAGAGCCTCCAGACGAAGTGGAGATTCCCCCCGTGGAAAGATGTCATCCGTCTGGAATATCTTTTAAGGCACTCGCCAATCCTCGGCTTGAGGTCTCCTTAGGATCTCGCCGTCCTCAAACCCGGTGACGCTGTAAAGGTCATCTGCGACTAACAGAATACACACTAAAAAAAACATGTTACCTGATATCTTTAGCCTGCATAACGACAGTTATAGTATCTAATTTTATTTGTAGGAACCTGTTATTGGCCATTCTTATTACAAAGTTGAATTATGTAATATCTATTTATATCGCTGTTGGTTTCTCAAAAATTTTTTTTTATTCAGTATTAATTTTTACATATAAGTGACTTAGATCTAAGAAAAAACACAAAAGGTAAAGAAAAATACATAGCCTGAACTAGGAATATTCTGTGTTTCAGGCAAAAAGATCTTAACTACTTTAAATAAATAATGAATAGAATGATTTTGATAAAATTTGGTATGAAGTTAGCTGACACCCTGGATTAACACATAGGCTACCTCTTACTGCGGGAAAATATCCCTAATAAACCACGAGTAATACCGCGGAGCACAGCTAGTAATATATAAACAGCTAAACAGAAACAGATTGTCTGTTCTGTGGAAGTAGTTTCCCATTAAATCACCCAAGAATTTACTCAAGACCGTTTCGTAAAGCCTGAAGCATCTTACCCGGCCGAAACTCAAGCTTGACCTGCCGTGAGGAATTGCGAACAGAGCTGAGCTCTATAAATGTTCGATTAGATGCTCAACTGAATACACTGAGCTGTTTGGATTCAAATCAGCTTGGTTAAATCGTTTATCGACTTAAGAGTGTAAACGATTGTATTTAGACTGTACTAGCGGCCCGCCCTCGCTTCGCTTCGGTGTGGAGCTGAAGTGAAGACTACAGTTTTTGTTCTCAGGCTTGTATTGTACACAATGATATTCATCTATGATTCTTCTTATACCTGCATGCAAAGTCTCAGCCCGATCGGTTTAAAATTGACAAAGTTTCATACAAACTTTCATTCCCTTTTTTATCCCCTTGGGGGTAGAATTGATCAAAATCCTTTCTTAGCGGATGCCTACGTCATAACATCTACCTGCACGCCAAATTTTAGCCTGATCCGTCCAGTGGTTTGGGCTGTGCGTTGATAGATCACTATGTCAGTCAGTCACCTTTGAGTTTTATATATATAGATGACACAGTAAACAAAATGCAGGTAAACAATAAATGTATATTTAATTATTAAGTAATGAAAGGTGACTTCATGAATAATCTCTGAAGTAATTTTTCAACTTGACGACTCTGTTAATAATAAAACATGGAGAAAAACAGCCCTTGCTGAGTTTCTTGTCGGTTCTTCTCAGTACAAGGTCTCCCGCCGTAGGTTTACGAACCGATGGCGTA